GTTACACATTTTGAAAGTATGTAGGATTCGCTTGCACTAGAAAATACACACAGTATTTCTGTGCATGTGTCAGTTGTTTCCCACAGGCGAAGGTGCAAAGCTTGTAATAGTATTCCCCACACAACTGTAAGATGCAGTGGCCAACATGTTTATAAATTGATAATTAAATACAAAGTAATCCAAGAAAGAAAAGGTAGCAAGCAATATACAGTATGTATTCCAATACTGGCACATTCAAGTGATGGAAATCTCTGGAGTCTCTCATTTCAGCTGATTTATACCTCCCACGTCATTGTTATGTTAGAAACCATTCACGTGATTTTGCTCTTAAAAATCTTCCATTTCTTTGACAAAGCTAATAGAAAAACTTCTTGCTCTACGTTTTCTTGCCTAGAACACGCTAAGCATTGGAAGTGTCTGTTAATATGTTTTACATAACCTTGAAGTAACACTGTTCTAGAATTTCACTCAATGCATAAAAGATCTATCAGTAACTAAAATTGTTTTAATTTTATGAAGGGAAAATAAATATTTGGCCTGTAGACTGAAACACTCCTATTTTTTCACTAGGATTAATTTGTCTAAATATTACAAATGACATTAGGCACTGCTGGTTGCAGTTTTCAAAAATAGTTTGTGAGTACTAGTATTGGCTTTGTTGATAACTACAGACATGTTATGAGATTGCAGTGCACTCTAAGAAGAGCAATTAGCAAGGTCACCAGTCCAGAAAAATGCAGCTGCTGTACCAAGGACACCATCTGAAGGAATACCTGAGCTAAAATAAACATACTTGTCTACTCTACAGCTATTTTCTGCAGGGCACAAAATATACTAATGACCTTCTCCTCAAGATCCCTGGCCCTGCAGACAGTAGGGGCTGGCTGTGACAGAGCTGCGTGGGGAGTTCGGTGTCTAATTGCCACGTGAGGCATCCCATTTAAACTGCTGTGAGCTGCTTCTGCCTGACCTTGTGTGATTCTGCTTTGGAGCAGGAGCAAAACCCTGTCCTGACAGAAGCAGATGTCTACATCTCGATCATGTTCTGTTGAAGCTGTTCTGTTTTGCCTGTAGGTCCCAGGCTGGGAGAAAGGCAAAATGATAGGGCATGTTTAGGGGAAAGTGTCAGATTTGACTACTTGAACTATGGTCAAAGACACCTCTTGGACGTCTCATTCTCAGGAGGTGGGAAACTCTTCTGTCTGAGCCACAGGAGAGCCTCTACCCTGGGTGCGCCTCGCTTTGAACAGTGTTTGGTTTTCTGGTGGGGTCACAGTGTCGTGTCACAGGGGAGCACTTTAATCCAGGAGGATGCGCATACAAGCCTCTCCTGAGCTCTTCCACCAAAGCCCGCCTGCTCTGTGCATCTCCCAGGTGTGAAGCAGAAGTTGGGGCTGTACCCCGCGGGCATCCTGTCTCCCTGCTGGGCACATGTCAAGGGCTTTGGCAGGAGGGCAGGAGACAAGCCCACCCTTGTGACTCCCCACAGGCTGGTGGGGAAGGTGCATCTGCAGTTCCAAAGCCTGCTCCAAATCAAGTAGGAGTTGAACACCAGGCTGCTTCCTGATTACCCTACACAATGCTAGAGCAGTTCTGCTTTTTTTTTTGGTGAGGAAAGGTTGATTTTGGTAAGGGGTCTCACAGGTGGGAATCCTGAGTGGAATTACTGTGTGGCCTGAACTATCTTTGAGGATGGGGATGAAGACCCACATCTTCTTCTGCACATTTTCTGCTGATAAAGTGAGGGCTGCTGGCTGGCTCCTGTGAGACCTCGTGGCCTGTAACCCATGAGACAGGAAACCCAACTGAATTCAGGCTGCGATTTGCACAAATCGGGAGGACACCTAGGAAAAAGGCATTGCAGTTGAACGAGCCTAAAGCACCTTTGGGGGAGAATGAAGTCCCTGTGACCCTATGGATGGTCCATGTGCTCAGCACATTTTAGCACTGGAAGTGTAAATGCTAGAGCCCTCATTCAAGGCAACATTTCCACTAACAGCCAGGGCAAATAAGCGAGGACCCTCCTATTGCTGAGACAGACTAGTGTGCATCAGGGCATCTCCACAGGAAGGCCGAGCAGTGTTTTACTACCACTGTCCTGCGTAACGGTGGGGTCTCTGTCGTCTTCTCCACATGCCCTCTAATTTGTCCTCACCTCTTGTGGACCTGTGTTTAAACACAATCGCAGAACTAAGCTGATTTCAATGGGTTTTGAGCTCTGCTTGTGCAGTGGGCAGGGAAACAAGTAAAAGATGGAGAATTCCAATTTAATAACCTACACAGTCATCTCTCCTGTGCTCATCTTGGAAGAGTTTGGCAAAACTGACTGAAGTACTGCGAAAATGTTTCGCTGTCAGAAACAATGAAAAGCAGATACAATTTCTGTCTATCAAGCTTGTTAGCACTAGCTAAAAAGTGTTTTCCACCGTCTTAAAATATGAGAAACTTGGAATATGTTTCTTTACCGTACTGCATGCTGTGGAACAAAGAATCTTCTTTTTCTCTCAAAAATGCAAATCTTTGGTGTGTTCATAAGCTGAGTGTTAAAAAAATATTATAAGATTTTAATTTATTTTTTAAGATTGAGCCATACCACTTTCAGGGACCAAACGCTGTTCTGAGATGCACTACTGTGCCCCCCTGGTTTCAGTAGGGCTCCTTCGTTTTGCCTGAGAACAATTTGATAAAGATCTAGCCGCGCGCTCTCATTTTCTTCCTTGTGATGGGGGAACAGAACCGTAACATTAGTCAGCAGTTTCTGAATTTTGACCCACAATAGCAAAGATACCAAAAGACAGGAGAAATAGATGGAGGCAATTACAAACAGTCATTTGATTGATGGTTGACATTGTTAGAGCTTCAGCTGTATGTCAGGTTGCGGTGGTGCTGAATCCCCATCCCTGCCGGTGGGTGTTGCCATGGGCAACAGCGCACTGAAGCCAATAAAAAGGAGAGGAAACGAGGGGAGACTCAACCTTGGGGGGAGCTGTAGGGTATGCGCTATAAATTATGTTATACTTAGCAATATGCAATATCAAAATTCAGGAAAGCTGCGTGTAACTGCCAGCAGCACTATGTCAGTTCCTAGTATCTGTTTCTCCCATAAAGTACGTGTTAAAACTTTGTATGGGTTGCTGCTTACTATCCTGTATCTGTCTTTATTCAGGGAAGAAAGAAGTGGTAAAATAACAGCAGAAACATTTCCATTTGGTGCATGTATTCACTGCTGTGCAGTCTGTATTTCTGCTCTTTTCCTGCTTCTTTCTGCTAGAGAAAGTGATGTGGTTCAGTTGCATACTAACAGATTGGCTTGCAACAGTATTGAAATTTCCAGCTATTCTCCTGTACGCATGGTTAGTAGCACAGAGGGTTTTTGTTTTGTTGTGGTTTTTTAAAAGAACTGATCAGCAGATTTGTTGTTTCTGTTTGATTGTCAGTCAGATGTAGTCAGCTTTTCAAAGGCGCTAATGATTCACTTTCCTTAGAAAGGAGGAAAGCTCTTTCTAGCATCTGGCCAGCTGGGCCAGGTTCTGATTTCCATTAAGTTGGTGCCAGTTCAAGGTAATTCCACTGCAGTAAATGGAGTTTGGCACAGGTGTAAAACTAAAAATTCAGCTATATTTTCTGCTGCCAGACAATCCTATATTTAGAATCCCATTTTTCATGGAGTACAAAGGCTTTTTTTCCCTATGAATGGGAACTCATAAGCACTGCAACATGACTCCTCTTGTGCCCGGTCATGCAGCAGAGAAAGCACCCTCAAATCATAGATCACAGTTTCGCTACACTAGTGATCTTTGCACTAATGGAAAGAGACCAAATTTCCGGTAGTACTAGCGTCATCACACAGAACTAGACATGATTGGTTTTGTGACCTGTCATGTCTGATTAGATTTTTATGAACACCTCTACCACAGACGTCTACATGTGAGCCTTGACTAGTGCTATGCTAGCTGTAATAACAGCATCTCAAATTGTACTGAAAGAACTGCAAGAGAAGTAAGAGGTAGTCAGTCCGGTATGATGATATTCTTCCTCTCCACCATTTCAAAATATTAATTTCAACTGGAAATTATACTAGAAAGGCTTATCCGTGATCCACTTTTCAATGTAATATAAACCTGAAGCACAAGGCAACAGATTTCCTTTTTTATTTGTATTCTATTTTCATTAAAGCCCGTTAATCTTTTCCTTAGGGGACACTGTAATTTAAAAGAAATGAATGTGTTAAAAGAGCATTTTTAAAAGGAAAAAAAAAACCCTCTAAAATTACCATGCAATATTTTGCCTTTATGCAAACTTCCCCTTGCTGAGAAATTTACTGCATTGTTAATATGAATTTCTCAGGGAAGCAGGGACAGGTGGTTGTTTTTAAAGATAATAAAGTTTGTTTTTAAATGTAGCAAAGGTAGGCAATTCTAAAGGCCCTGATCAATCACTAAGAAGCTTTGTTGTAAAAAAATACTTCTTTAGAATACAAAGCAGGCTTTTCAGAACATTCAGGCATAAAAGGGGAGGGAAGAGTGAGAGAGGAACATCACAAAAGCAGGCATAATTGATTCATAACATGTACTGAAGAGATGCAAAACAACAATGTAATCACATACTATTCGGTTTTCCTGCAGCTTCTTGCATATGAATTGACCACCTTGCATCCCAGTTCTGCTCTGTATTATTAATTTTATTAAGCTGTAAGTTCTTATATTTCAGTCTGTTGTCAGCTTTACAGATTTTTACAGCAGCAGTTGAAATGTAGTGGAGCTGAATGAATGCTTCTTGTGCTGTCTTCCGTGTCACTCCAGATATCAGCGCAATCTCACCGCAGGCCTTCCTTTCAGTCCCACTAAGCCTCCCAGTAAAAGCAAACTATGCTGCCATCAAGATAATATCCAATCAATTAAGCATGTCTGTGAAAGCATTTCTTAAAGAAACGGTGGGCCTAAGCTTACGAAAGCCTTTCAGACAGCTCTTATTGTAAAGCGACACTGACATTTGCAGGCTTAATTTATGTCTTTGAGAGACACGGTAAAGCTAGAGGAAAAGGAGGACGAGGATGCTGCCTGAGAAGGAAGTCTTTTTTGGTGCAGCTCCTCCCATTTACCTCTATTTACTGCCACGGAGTCCAGCATAGGCTTCAGTTTCACATTCAGCTTCACTAGACACTGGAAGAAGATTAAAAAAAAAGAGGGTGAGAGAAAAAATACTGACAGTATTTCCATTCCTCTGATGGACAGTCCAGGAAGTAACAGGGTAAAAAGAGTTTAATATGCACCATGCCCCCACCCTCCTTGCCCCCAGCTGTAAATTCCTGTGTAGGTAAAGCTTGTTGTTCCCACTGAGATCTCTTTATCGTACCTGTTTTACCTGTGGCTTTAAGTAAGCCACCAAAAATGTCAAAAAAGCAGGTAAGGTGGCAGAATTGCTGCTCAACTAGTGTAGCTTTGTAATCCTTAAAAATAGCCCTTTTGAGGCATCCCCCAGGTGCCTGAGGCTATCTGGTTGCTGGCATCTATGAGCAGGAGGTCCACTGGTTGGATGACAAGTTGGACAAAGCTGAAATAACCGTCAGATCCTCCCTAGTGCTAGATTCGTATTTCCTATAGATGAGTAAACGACAACAGTACTGTGCTTTCCAAAGCTGTGTGCTCAAAATAAAGAAAAAAAAATAGTTTTCTTTTGGATTGCACTGAAATCACCTCTTTTCTACATAGTCCAAAGCTCACAGAAGCCAGTAAGAATCTTTTATCTGGTTTCAGCTGGCTTTGAATCAGCCCCCAAATTATATAATCCCTGCACACCTTTGCTAGACGTTTATTTTACCTTCCCCTTTAGTACCAAGTACTTATGTGGAAAGACCACAAGTGCTTCACTTGGTTTTGTCCCTACATTAAAGAGAGTCAGAACCTCATTAACAGCAGCACCCGGATGAGAAGAAAGGGTTAACCAGTTACCTCCGAAGCGGTCCGGTAATGTGCTCTTTCAGGACAGAGGAGTATTATTCTTTTGCAGCTTTTTTGATTAGCAAGAAGTGGGTTTTGCTGAGAGTTGGGTATCATGCTTTTTCCAATTTGTCATTTGAAATTAAGGATTGGTGCAAGGAAAAAAAATGACAACAGAGAAGACAGCAAAAGTTGTTTTTCTAAAAGTGCAGAGAATTATTAAGGAAAGGAAAGGGGAAGCAGGTACCTTTGCAGCTGATAATTTTCATTATTTGCTTTAAATAGCAGGGTTAACAGCAACCACTTTAAATGGTCCCCAGAGCCCAGACACCACTACAGAACTGGATTTTTTTTATAGCTAGTCTGCAAGCCATGGGAGCTTGGTTAGCTACTGAAGTAAGTCTTGGTAGATTTTAATTGAGCTATTATATGATAATTAAGGGTTAATGGCCTGATTTTAAGATGTGCTGAAAACTTGCAATTTCAGTTGACTTCAGTAGGAAATATGAGTGCTCAGCACTTCTGAAAAATCATGCCATGAGTAAGTAGCTGATTTGTGTGGAACTTGAAGCAAATCTGCTTGAAATTATTTCCTTAGAATATGGCACACACTGGGCAGATAATTTTACAACCTTGGGCCTGGGGTAAGAGGCAGAGTCTGCCACGTATAGTATTGCTCGCTGGTGACGGTCGTTCATTTGATAGAATGAACGTGGATTAATAACATTTCCATCACCGTGCCTCAGAGCTTGCCATTTTTAGCTCTTTATTTCAGACCACTGTGTATTCCTCAAACCTGATTTGGCAGAGTCTAAAACAGAGTAATACATCATAAACACCTGAAAATACCTGAAAAGCTCACTGCTGTTATCATTAGCATCTGCATTACCACTACTAACTCAGCGTCTAGAGGTAGCATATTAGATATTCAACTCTTGACAGCAAATTATCAGATCCTTTCTGTGCAAAGCCAGTATCCATCCACTGGCAGTTAAGCTTGCTGGTATTTCTTAAATCTTGAAAAAGTTTTCGTGAAGTATTTTTCCAATATACAATTTAGATTTAAAAACCCCAAAATAATCAGTGTTTAAATCAGTGGTTAAAAATCAGTGTGTTTCAAACATCTCTAGGCACAAAGACGGCATTCTGCACTCACACCCGGTCAGCCCCAGGATCTGTAAGCACAAAACGCAGTACAGTCTCTTCCTGTCATAAATGCTATACCAGCAACCTATACCTGCTACAGGCAACGCAGAGAAGGAGCTCATTGGGACAGTGCACTTTGTCTCAGTGGGGCTGTGCAGCTCTAGGCTATGTCTGTGTCCTTTCTATACTGGTTTTTTGCCAAGACTGACCACAAGACCATGATGTTTTCACTCCTAATGCCAGGGAGCAAATGCAGAGGTCTGGGCATGACCTATTGCTGTGCCCATCCCTCCAGGCCTAGGCAGATATGGTAGGAGACAGCCCTCCCACGTGCAGTGCCAGGAGGATTGTGAGTGCTTGAGCTGCTTAGATCAATTAGCTTTGCATTAACCACAGCAGAGACCAGAAGCCCGAGTAGATTGGGAATGGATTCAAGAAGCACCCACACAGTTCTACAGTAATCACTGCATCTTACGATCTGTAAACACATTTTAAATCCAAAAGCAAATACATATGTTTCTTAGAAATATATACCTAAGTGCATATTACAGAATCTAATAACCCACGTGCAACAGAGGTTACCAGATAAGTAACAAGAATGGTTAACTAATAACATTAACTTTGATGAAATAAATTAAAAGGAATATTTAAGAAGAATAAACCATGTCTTTAATATTCAGTTTTACCATAGCATAAGCAATTAATTCTATGGAATAGTTACAAAATATATAGTGTAATTTTAAGAAACTTTATTTTGTTACACATGAATTTAGATTAAGGATACTCAACAGTGCAGATTTTGCACTTGGCCTATAAAATGTCTTTATTCAGACATTGATTTGATGTTTAAACCACTGCTTCTGTATTTAGTGTCCTTTCACTTTGGGACTCTTTCATTCTGATCTAGTCTTTTAATTAAACCAACTACTATAATTCCTATGGAAATTAGCTTTTATTTTATTTTTTCCAGCTACCAAAGCATTTCAGTAGGACTTTTCTGATACAAAGTACACAAATTCGATTTTATTTCTGCTTGAGATATAATTAAAAACTCATTTGATTACTATATATCTGGCCCTGTTTTAATTATTAAACTCCAGTAATCAATTTTCTTTTATGAAGCGCCTGGGAAATTATCTCAAAAGCAACATTTCTCTCCCTTCTGGCAGGCTCTCGACCATTTACTGAATTACATTCATAGCACCTGCTCCTGATCCGGATTAAACCACCAATTTATTCCCAAAGCTATTTAAGTTTATTTGGCTGTAGCCTAGTCAGGGTTTTCTACCTCCTGGCTGCACTTTTTACTTTCCATTTTATTGCATGAAAACCCCTTGATGTACTGCTCCTCCATGCTGCTGTTTTTGATGCATGCCTCTTACAAACAGCTTTGCTAGTGATCTGTCTAATTTGATATCCAGCTTCTTAACGCTTAGTTTATTATTTGCTTTAGTAGGAAGAGGCTTGGTCTTCAACAAATGTCTGACATGGGATACCACCACATAAACTCATAGCTCCAGAAATGTCCTTTTTCCTCGCCCCCCCTTGGGGCAGCCAGCCGGACACGAGGCGGGGGTGAGGGAACCCCTGCCTGGGGGAATTCCCGTCTCTCCGCCTGGGAGCTCGAGACCCGCTTGCAGTCCTTCCACTGCAGCGCAGCTGCCTGGCTACACAGCAATAGGTACAGGATTGGTGACCCTTCCCATTTTATCCCCTTTGCTGCAAAAGCTGTTCTTAATCGCAGAGTGATAAAGCGTGCTGGAAGAACGGTCATGCTGGCGGCTGTGTGCTCCGGCGTTAGGAAAAGCCAGATAGGTTTGCAGTTCCCTTCTGCATCCATGTATTACCTCAGACGCGTGACTAAGGTGTTTCTCAGAAAGTTACTCTATAGCATTGGCTTTTTCTTACCACCTTCAACAATTTAGGTATCTTTTGTGACTATGTACTGCTCTGCCCACAGCATACTTTCACAAGGTCTTACATCTAAGCTCCTCCAGCTCAAGAAAAGGTTAAAGGCACTTCAGCAATACATTGTGTGCACCTGGGAGAGGGGCACAGCTGCCTGAAGGAAGAGCTCAAAAGGGGGAGAGCATGAGATACTCAGAGGAAGCTATTTATGGGAGGAGGGAGGGAGGGAGTGTTTTGTCTTGGGTATAGAGATGTATTTCTTAGGTATATTTTGCTAGATAAAGCAAGAAAATGAAGAAACAGTAGAAGTAGCAACAAACCCCTTCACGGAGAGGGTGATGGATAGCAGTGGAGGCATTTGTTAGTAGATCTATCTCCCGGCCTGAAGGGTAGTGGTTGGGGAGAGGACTTCATCTGCTACATCACCTTCATCTCTGGGAAAGGAAGCAGAGATGAAGCAGCCAAAATGCAGCACAGATGTGGCCAGAGTCTAAACTATTGCTAAAGCAAATACAACATTTTGTTGTATTCTAAGACTAATACCAAATCTTTTTAAAGAGGAGCATGGTATGCCCTAACTTACAAACACTGCAGGACCTCCAGAATACATACTTTTCTTTTTTTCTCCCCCCTCCTCCCCCTGGAGATTCTCATCCAAATATTGACCAATTCTGACCTTGCTTAACTTATGAGCTTTGACAAGCTCACGGAAGTATGGTTGCGGGTCTAATATTTGTAAAGTGAGTTTATGGAATAAGACCATATAAATTCTTTTTTATGACTGAGCACATATCAAAAAGTTATAGGTCTCAGTGTTCACTCTGCTTTGGAACCCAGTGGTTTCTAATGAATCACTTTTATTATGTAGGCAGTTTCTAAGTTGGAAGGGAGGACTAGTGACCGAGAAGGCATAGGGATAAATTCAGACCTGGGGTAAGCATATGAAGCATTGCTGAAGTCAAGAGAGTCGTGACCAGTTACAGCACAGCTGAATTGGACTCCTGAGTTTTGCTGAAGTGGCTTTCACATGAGAATACATCGGCCAAAGGTGAGCCATCTATCTGAAAGTCCTTGAACTTCAGATTAGTTCAGATAAAAGGGAACCTGTACTGCAGTCATCCACAGATTTGATCTTCATAATACAAATACTTGATGGAAGTTGTTTTGAA